ACCTATGGCATGCATTTTGACTGTGATTTCTCCATCAACTTAATCTTACTTTCTTTTTTTTTTTTATTCCTTCAAGTAATTCCTCATCATTTTAGATTCACCAATTGATCCCATCTTGTTTTCCAGTGCTAATTTGGACTGATGTATAAATGTATATTTCTAAAATTTCTAGGGTCAAGAGCTGGAGGGAAAGTAGGTACAAGGATTCAGTGTATCAGCAGCATGATCTCATCTCCCCTAGCATTTTTTTTATGGTGAGAGATTCCAGATCATGTTTATACTGAGAGCAGCCCAGAAAGGAGAGACACAGACACTGTCAGAAAAGAGATACCTTTAAATGAAAGTCCTTGAAAGGACACAAACAATGCAATGTTGAGCGCCAAGGGGAGGAAACTGGCCTGTGATAAAGAAGAGGTGCTTCCTTCATTGCAACAGAGGAAAGGAGAGAGAAGATGGGTCGAGATGCATCCTAGTCTTCTCTCTATCAAGCCAAATACTCTCAGCTTTCCCAGTCGGTTTTTAATGATATCTTCCTGGATTCCTCCTTCATTAAACAATCAAATGGGGGAGTGGGGGAGAAGGTTGCTGTAAAAGCATAATGTTGACAAAGATCAAACGGTTCAGAATAGCAGGACCATTAGCTTCCTTGTTCTGGACATTGTCTTCTTTTTAAGTCCAAAATTGCTTTATACTCTATAGGCATGCCTATTTGTGGGCTTTTTTGTGTGTGTGTGTAAACTCTTGTAAACTAGGTCTTGCCTAATTTGTATTTGCACAGAGAATAGCACAAAAACCACAGTCAACAGGACTCAATTCAGTCATTCTCTGAAACATATTAGACCTGTCTCTGGGGTGTCTTCTCCAATCTGCTGTGCTAGCCCCGAGTCAGACTTCTACCATCTGCTCCTGGGACTCCTGCAGCAATCACGTCACTGGCCATTTTCTCTTTCTTCTATTTCTAGTCCTTACTCCCTATTGCTCTCAGAATTGTCTATCTACATATAGCCCTAACCATGCCGTGATTCTTATATAAGAAATGAATTTCTGGAGAATAAAGTCTAAACTGCTCATCATGACCTTCAAGGTCCTTTACTATCAGGTCCTCACCTACCTTTCTAGAACCCACAATGTCTATTGAACAAAAAGGGATGTGGAGTTTAAATTGACCACTGGCTTAATCAAATTATGTAGTTCTATAAATTAAGTAAGAATATCTTTACCTAAAAATTTTAATTTTACTTACTGCTTTTCATTATGTCCTTAGACATGTCACTTTTCCTTTGTTTCACTGCTTCATTTATAAGGGCCTACTACTTTACATAAACTAACCAAAAATTCAGTAAACTATTTAGCTAGTAAGTCATCTCTCTTTTTAAAAATATTTTATTGGTCAGGAGTATTTTTTAAATATATTTTTATTGATTTCATAGAGGAAGAAAGAGGGGGAGAGAGATAGAGACATCAATGATGATAGAGAATCATTGATCAGCTGCTTCCTGCACACCCCACACTGGGGTTCAAACCTGCAACCCCCCATGTGCTTTTGACTGGAATCAAACCCAGGACCCTTCCGTCTGCAGGCCAACGTTCTAGTCACTGAGCCAAACCAGCTAGAGCAAGTCATCTCTCTTTTTAACCTTTTCTTCTGTTTCATCCTAGTCATGAAATGATCATCTCCTAAATTTAATATGGCAAGTAATTATCATACTTTTGTTCATGTTCTTTCCTTTAAGAGCCATTTCCACTCTATCACCCTCCACCCCAACTCCTATTTCTCCTGTCAATGTAAGAACATTCAAACCTGCAGAGAATTTTTATGAGTTTATTTGAACCAAACTGTCTACAATTGCCGGGAAGCAAAATCTCATTGGATTAAGATAATGCTCCAGAGAATGGTAGATTTGCACTGTATTTTATACATAACAATCAAAAGAGCAGATGCAGTGAGCTACATGGAACCCAATGGTGATAGATTAGGGAGGTGAGAGAAAGCAAAGCAGGGAAACCTCTGCGATTGGAAGAAAAGCAAAATGATAGGAGCTTTATCTTTTACATAGGTGGGTACGGGATAGTTAACAGTCAACAATTAACTCAATAACAATGAGGGGATTTGTGGTCTCTGCAGAGTGGTGCCTGTGGTTTGAGGGGGTCCAGAAAAAGGAAAAAGACAGCTCAGTTAAGGTAAAGAGGAAGATGCCAGCCTAGACCATGACTACCCATCAAAAACTGCTTTTAGTTAAAAAGTTTTAATTTCACACCATCCTTTGTGATTACTTTAGGTCTTCGAGTTTGCAAAGCTGCCATACAGGCCTTCCCTGAGCTTGTCAGGTTAGCATGTGGCCCCTATTAGGCCACAAATTTATTTGAGCCAAACTGAAGACAATTGCCAGGAAGCAAAACCTCAACAGATTGAGAAAATGCTCTGGAAAATGGCAGTTGTGTACCTTATTTTATACATTACAATCAAAGAGGAGAGGTAAGCCCTGGCGGGTATGGCTCAGTTGGCTGAGTATCATCCCTTGCAGGAGAGGTCACAGGCTCCATTCCTGGTCAGGGCATGCCTGGGTTGCAAGCTCCATCCCCAGTAGGGGGAGTGCAGGAGGTACGATCCATGTTTCACTCTCCTTCTCCCTTTCCCTTTCTTTAATATATCAATAAAAACATATTTTACAAGAAGTGGCTAAAACCGGTTTGGCTCAGTGGATAGAGCATCGGCCTTTGGACTGAAAGGTCCCATGTTTGATTCCGGTCAAGGGCATGTACCTTGGTTGCAGGCACATCCGCGGTAGGAAGTGTGCAGGAGGCAGCTGGCTGATGTTTCTCTCTCATCGATGTTTCTAGCTCTCTATCCCCCTCTTTTCCTCTCTGTAAAAAAATCAATAAAATATATATTAAAAAAAAAAAAAGAAGTGAAGAAATGTAAATGGGTTACATGAAACCCGTTGGTGTAGATGGGGGGGGGGGGGGGGCACGGCCAGAAGAAAGCCAAGTGTGGGGTGAGGGAGTTGGGGGACAGACACACAACCTCTGGGATTGGATAAAAAGTAAAGTGATAGACATACTTATTTCTAGATAGGCAAACCCTCTATTCTATACTGTCTCATTGCTCCTTCTCCTTCTTGACAGACCTCACTACAGGATAGTTAACAGTCAACAATTAACATGACAATAACAATGAGGGGTTTTGTGGTTCCTGCTCTGACCCCCTCAAAGCAGTCACTGTGCTTTGAGGGGATGAGGGTGGAGGAAATTACTTTGACATTCCAAAGATTTAATATCATAGATTAAAAAAAAACAACCACCAATAGACAGGCTCACTGAAGGTAAAGATGGACTTTTGTCAGGGAAGATTCAACCCTATGACATGACTACCTGCCATAAACTGCTTTTATTTTTAAAAGTTTTAATTGCAGACCATCTAACATGGTTACTTTGAGGCCATCATGCAGGCCTCCCCTGAGCTTGTCAGGTTTAGTTCCCATTTTTGTTCACACCCCTAAGCTTTTAGTTCTGGAAGAGTCCTTTGAGGTCCTCTATAATGCCTAGTGATAGAGGGGTGAAGGTGGTGTTTGAAAAAAAAAATTCAATAATTTATTTTAAAGAAGTGTTTTCTGAATATACTCTATCTAAAGTTTAAAGTTGAACAAATTATGACTGCTGGAGATATTCAAATTGCTGTAATTCCAAAAGGGCTGGAACCGTTTGTTCTCTGTTCCTCAAAGAGGCTGAGCTCCCTTCTAACTCAGGAATTGTCCGTGTGCTTTCCTTCTGCCTGTAATGCTCTCCCCAACCCATCTCCCACCATTCATGCTTCCAGGTGCCAGCGTAAACTGGTCTTCGAGAAGGCAAATGTAAACCCTCTTTCTGTGCTGTCTCGTTGCCCCTTCTCCTCTTGACACACCTCACTATAGTTGTAATCATGTGACCATAAGTGTAGTGTTGATTTTTCCTTGTCTTCTTCACTAGACTAAACTATGAGGATGGGGTGTGGCTACTTTGTTCCCTACATGGTGCTAGGCACATGAATGAACTTTAGTTGCCACAGGGACAAAACACTTAAAAGTTGAGAAACACTGCTCTAGTGACTCTCTCACTGGAGTGCACCCACGCCTTTCCCCACCTCCTTCCCCAGGTCCTTTTTCTTGCTTCTCTTGTCTAAGCTCCAAGCGCTGTATTTTGTTTTAATGATATCTTTATTCTGCCGCTGTAACTTGTTTCCTGAGCCCATTTCTTCTACGGATCACTTCTTCTATTTCTGTGACTTTCTAAATAAACTGTCTTATAAGTGTGAGAAAAAAAGAGAGAGAAAGAAACATTGCCATAAAAACTCAAAGCCCGCTTTAAAAATGAGGCGAGGTTCATTGAAGACAAGAGGTTCACTGAAGGACAGTTGCAAGTAAGGATGTGCATGAGACCAGATCCAAGAGGATTCTCTGCTCCCGCCTGGCCCACGGCCTTTGCCTCATCCTCTTACCATGGCTTGAATGGCCCGCCTGCCCAAATGCCTCTAGAAGCCTTTCCTAGCCCCAGTCCTCTCGGAGCTGCTGTGCAACCTCGTGATGTCCAGTTGGCAACACTCCACGTTGACCGCGTTAGCGGTCACTCCCCAGTCCACCCAGCAACCTCATTCGATGCCAGCGACCCCTGCCTGCCTCCTGGGCGCGCAGAGAATCTTTCCAGGGGATGGGCGACTGGGTGGCTCCGGCGCTCACCTCCATCACCCGGACTGGACAGGCGTCCTGGGGGTCATGCGCGAGGTGTGAGGCCCCAAATTCCAGGCCTCGGCGGCTGCGGCCCCGCCTCCTCCAGGCTTTGGCGGCGCTGATTGGCTGATCCGCCTAGGCGGTGGAGGGGGCCACCATCGCCCCCTTCTCAGCTCCGCGGGGGCGCGCCCGCGGCACGCGACTGGGCGGGGCCGAGGGTGAGTGACGGCCGCCCGGGCCAATGGGGCGGGCGCGCGCCGCAGCCGCCGCCGCCGCCGCCACCGCCGCAGCCGCCGCCGCCACCGCAGCCGCCGCCGCCGGAGCTCGGCCCCTGACGCAGGCCGAGGTGCCGCGCCGCTGCTGCTGCGGGCGGCGACGGCTGCACCATGGGCCGGCTGCCGCGGGCTGCCGCGCTGCCGCCGTGGCTGCGGCCGCTCCTGCTGCTGCTGGCCGGGGGTGAGTGCGCGCCGCGGCGGGCCGGGCGGGCGGGCTGCAGGCCGCGGTGCTGGACAGCTCCCGCCGCCAACAAAGGACGGCGCGGGGCGGGCGCGCGGGCTGGCGGGGCCGCGGCGCCGTCCTCCCGCCACACGCGCCCGCGGGGAGTGCGGGGCGTGGGGCGGCCGCGTGTGCCTGCGGTGTGTGTGGTTCCACGCGTGAGCGTCACACCCACACACACACACACACACACACACATAGCCACACACACAGCCGCGAGCGTGCCCGGGAGTCGCGGGCGCCCGAGCACGCTCCCGGCGGCGCGGGGCGAGGGGCGCTCGGGGCCGGCCCCGGGGCAGAGAGGAGGACGCCCGCCCGCCCGCCCGCCTCTGCGACAGACAGACAGCCAGCCTCCCGGGAACGGGAGACCGGGAGACCGCATCCGAGGTCCCCTGGGGCCGCGGCGGGGAGCGCGGGTGGGAGTGTCTGCGGCCCGGGGGGCGGCCGCCGCGCCTCCCCAGACAGCTGCTGCGACAGCGGGCTGTGTTGACGCGTGTGTGGCGCTCCTGGCCGGGAGGGAGGAGGGGTGTGTCATTGTGAATGCGGCTCCCGGGCCGTGCTGGGCAAGTTACTTTGTCAGGAGCTGACAAAGAGGAGGCTCTGCAGCCCCGCGTCCCCGTGTGTGACAGTGACGGTGCTGGATAGCTCCTGCGCAGCTGACAGCAGGGGGGTGAGACCCTCTGAGATGGTTTCCATGCACAGTTACTCAAGGGCACTGGGATGTATGTGGGTGGTGAAAGGTTCGGGGGGGGGTGGGGGTCGGGGGCAGATGTGCAATGGATGTGCCTGTGAGCAAGAGACAGTCTGAGAACAGCTTCGGAGGGGCAGACGGGATTTAGGTGTGTGCTGGGGTGGAGGGGGGGGGGGGGGTAGAGGGTGGAAACACAAAGTGTGTGACAGCCTCTGAGCCAGGCCACCAACACAGAATGGGGGTTGGGAGGAAGGAGACGGGCTATCTGCAAGAGCAGGTCATATCAGGACATGGCTAAGCAGCTTCTCCACGCGGCTGGCAGAGCGAGGGGGAGAGAGGTCATGGGTATATATGGAGGTCTGACTGGGAACTGGTGTTGGAGAAGAGACCTGGGGTGAGTGTGTGCCTGGATTGTGTGCACGCTCCTGTATCAGACAGCCCGGAGTGAGTCCATTTCCAGAGGACACACATGGGGGTGGCGTGCTTATAGGTAGCAGTGTGCATGGGACATTGGCGGGAAGCACTTCCCATACAGTTAGCCCACAAAGGCAGGCAGATTGTGTGATGTGTGTGAGTGAAGGATCTCTTCCTGAGGGAGGAGCAACCTTTGCTTGCTGGTGGCAGTGAGATGTGCCGTTACCGTGGGCCATAGTGACAGAATCCCCAGAAAACCATCCGGGAGGGGAAGGGGCAGCTCCTGAGCATGTCCCAGGAAGGCTCGGTTCAGCAGGGGTCCATCAGGGATGGGTGTGCACAGGAAAAATGTCCACAAGTGCTTCTCTCAGACACACACACACACTTACCTCCATCCTTGCACATCTTAAATTCTCTTTGAAGAAGGCGAGATTCAACAAATCAATTAAAATTTATTAGTTCACCAGTTCTTTTTGGGACAGCCACACTGGAACTGGCCATGCCCACTTGTAACTGCCTATACCCTTACATGGCTAGCCGTGGCTTACTCTGGGCAACTTTTCTCCCTTCTATTATTTCCTCTTCTCCCTCCATACACATTCCTCATGACACCTATATTATCTCCATGTATGGGTTACATGTGAATCTAGCAGGATGTCTCTTTCTTACATGCCTTTGTGCAGAAACCCTACACAAGCGTTTTTCTCTGATACACACAGACACACATGAGTCTAAGTATGTATGTGGTAGGGTGACAGTGCCAGACAGTTTCTGCTGTAGCTGACACTCAAGGGTGTGAGGGCAGTGTAACAAATGCTGCCGGGCAGCGCCAGGACTGGTGCTTAGGGAGATCTGGACCACAGAGCTGCTGATTAAGAGGATAATGAGGATGGAGCTGATGGTGAAAATCAGAAAAGGATGTCTGGATCAGGAGCAGATTGCAGGGGAGATAAGACATGGGATTACTAAGGCCTCGTTTTGTGTTTGTTTGTTTTTTTTCATTCATTCGCCTGTTTTTCGAATGTGTTTGGGTCAGACTTTTATTATTTGAGGCTGATCCTCTAATCCTTTCACGCCCCTTCTTTTTCTCTCCCTTCCTCTATTGGCAATGATGAAGTAACAGGAAATTATGGGTGTTTAAGGAAAAAGTTACGAAGAGTGTAATTCTGAAATTTCAAATCAGGTGGGGTCTCAAGTAAGGCAGGTTAGTTAAGTGTAAAAATACTTATACATAGAATGAATAAGTCTCAGCTACTATTTTAATGGGCAAGTTTGAAAATAAGTAACCTCTCTTAATTACCTAAACAATTACTCATTGCCAAAGCTGTTGAAAACATCAAGGTCTTTAAAAAGAAAAACATAATTATAGGGAAAAATAACTTCAAGAACACGGAACTGTTTATTGGAGAAATAATGAAAAACTAGATTCCTTTTTTTTTTTTTTACACACAGCTTTCAGTAAGGTTATCAAAATATCTGTTAATTCCTGCTACGTTGTTGGGAAAGGAAGACAAGGATGGGGAAGGGAGAAGAAGTAGAGAAAGACTGTGGCTTCTCTGCTTGACAAGTAAAGGACTGGGTTCGGAGAATGGAGGAATCGCCTGTCATAGAAGTGGTGGGGAATAGACCCAGTGACTTCAGACCATAGTCCCTGCACAGAGAGCTTCCCTGACCAAAAAGTATATTATCCCCAGAGGTGGGAAGTCAACAGGACTGCTGGTCAGACTTTCCTCAAGAGGACAGACACAGTTTTCTCAAGATCTAAGCTGTGCTGGAGAGCCTGACCAAGGCCAGAGGCAGTGACTGCGCTGCCACCACACCACAGTTCAGCTCTGAGAGAGTCCTTGGATTTTTTTTTTTAAAATATTTTATTGATATTTCACAGAGAGGAAGGGAGAGAGATAGAGAGCTAGAAACGTCGATGAGAGAGAAACATCGACCAGCTGCCTCTTGCACACCTCCCACCGGCGATGTGCCCGCAACCAATGTACATGCCCCTGACCGGAATCGAACCCGGGACCTTTCAGTCCGCAGACCGACACTCTACCACTGAGCCAAAACGGTTTTGGCAAGACCTTAGATTTTGAAGAGGCAATGTGTGTTTTGATCCTCCAGTTACTTTGTAAAAGGTAAAATTCCAAGAATTGTTGCCCGGCTGGCAGGGCCCAGTGGTTAAGAGTCGACCTATGAACCAGGAGGTCAGGGCTCGATCTCCCGGGGGGACATGTAGGAGGCAGCAGCTCAATGATTCTCCCTCTCCCTTCTTCTCTGAAATCAATAAAAATATATTTTTAAAAATTCCAAGAATTTTTAAAATCAGTTTGCACTTTTCTAAAAAAGCTGAAGTGCCCGGCCAGTGTTGCTCAGTGGTTGAGCGTCAATTTATGAACCAGTTTGATTACCTGTCAGGGCACATGCCCGGGTTGCGGCCTCAATCCCCAGTAGGAGCATGCAGGAGGGAGTTGATCAGTGATTCTCATCATTAATGTTTCTGTCTCCCTCCTCCCTCCTTCTCTCTTCCTCTATGAAATCAATAAAAATATGTTTAAAATTTTTTTATTTAAAAATATATATTTTATTGAGATTTTTTACAGAGAGGAAGGGAGAGGGATAGAGCATTAGAAACGTCGATGAGAGAGAAACATCAGTCAGCTGCCTCCTGCACACCCCCTACTGGGGATGTGCCCACAACCAAGGTATATGCCCTTGACCGGAATCGAACCTGGAGCCCTTCAGTCTGCAGGCCGATGCTCTATCCACTGAGACAAATTTTATTTTAGAGCTAAAAAAAAAATTTTTTTAAATGAGAATGGCATCTAAGAATCCCCTCACAGTCCCTGGGTCTCAGGACTGTCCCCCAAAGCATCACTCCACTTCAGGTTCTTCATTGTGGAGACATGTCTTAACCCCACCGCAGCCTTTCCTCTCTGGCTTCTCATAACCATTGGGCTTTTGTGTTTGTGCAGGGGTGTCCTTGGGCACATATGCAGGTGGATCTGATGAACCTGGCCCAGAGGGCCTCACCTCCACCTCCTTCCTGGACCTCCTGCTGCCCACTGGCCTGGAGCCGCTGGACGCAGAGGAGCCCAGCGAGGCCATGGGACTGGGAGCTGGCCTGGGAGCCCCGGGGTCAGGCTTCCCCAGCGAAGAGAGTGAAGAGTCCCGCATTCTGCAGCCACCGCAGTACTTCTGGGAAGAGGAGGAAGAGCTGAATGACTCCAGTCTGGACCTGGGACCCACTGCAGGTAGCTCTTCTGAACAGTATGTGCTGATTGCAGCTGGGTAGGAGGCATTCTTGGCAAAATGCCAAAGGACCATTTTCTTGCTCAAATCACATCTCTTCTCTTTCCGCCAGCTTTCTCTGTGCATCGGAGCCAAGTCTCTGGGATTCTGAATGTCTTACAGGCCCTTTTCTCTTTAATATTCACTGCTATTTAGTGAGCCTGTATTCTGTGCCCTAATATTATCCCCAGTTTATACCTGAGAAAACTGAAGCTTAGAAAAGTTAAAAGCAAGCTTAAGGTCATACAACTGTGCATATTGTCAAGTCATGATTCAAGCTGAGGTCTTTCCAAGGTCTGGGATTTGTTTGTTTTTCTGTACTCTGCTGTATTGTCTCTGTTGAAGGTTCCCGGAAGTCCACACATGCTATGTCCCGCCTTAAGTCTCTCTGGCACCATCAGGATGTTCTAGTTATCTTGCCCTCAGACATGGGCCAGAGCTGGTTTCTGGACCTACAGAGCATGACCAATAGAAATGTGGGAGCTGGGCTCAGCATGTACGTACCATGGCTGATTACAGATGCAACAGAGCTTCCATGCTTCTAGCTACAGCAGCTGTGCCCATGTCCTTGGCCAGAAGGAGCCCATTTTAAATGTCAGACTGTCAAATCTGTGTGTGCGTGCATGAGCACATGCACATGGGGTTACAGAATTTAGCTCTAATTACAAAAAACAATATATGAAAATTGTAGAAAATATAGAAACAGTACAAATATAAAATCCTGATATTATCTCACAACTAAAAGATAATTACTATTAATAGTTTTGAGTGCTTCCTTCTAGATACTTTTATATACAAAATTGGAGTCATAATGGATATAATGTCTTAAAATATTTCAGAAATGAACTTCCACATCATTAATATTCTTTTATAACCTGATTCTTAATAACTACACAGTATCTCATCATGTGGCTCATCATATGTATGAAACAGGTTCTCTATTGTTGAATATTTAGGTGTGTTTTTTTTTGTTTTTTTGTTTTTATGCTGCTATAAATATCCTCATATGTTTTTGTACTTTTCTGATTCTTTGCTTAAATTTCTAAAATAAAATTTCTAAAGGTGTGTCAGTCAGCATCACAATCAGAAACATAAGACAGAATCAAACTAAAATAATCCAAAGAGGGTTTATTTATAGAACAGTGAATTTACAAAGGTATAGGTAGGAACAGGTGACCACAGAGGATTTGCTTTACACCCCTCCTTACTTTCCCCTATTTCATAACTCTCTCTCCCTCTCTCCCTCTCTCCCTCTCCATCCCTTTCTCCCTCTCTCCCTCTCTCTTTCTTCCCCTCTCCCCTTCTCTCCCTCTCTCTCCTCTCTCTCTCTTTCTCCCTGCCCCATTGGCTTCTCTAGGTGTCATTATAATAAAAATGCCTATCATTCATTGAACACAAGCCATGTAATGGGCACTTTGCATATATTCTGCTCATGCTAGGCCCACAACATACCAGCTCCACAACACAGGTCTGTTTTCTTGTCTCTACTGTACATAACTAAAGAACTGTGAGGTGGGGACACAATTGCCCTCCAAGGGTGATGGACAAGAGGTATAGAACAGGTGGAGGAGGAGAGAGGTTTTGTCTAGGCTCCCTCATTGCTCATCTTTTGATTGGTCTGCTTGCCCACAGCAAGAGCTTACTTGTGTACAGCAGAGATGAGTCTAGAATCAGTTTTTCCTGAGCAGTGGTACCTGTGGACCTAGGCTGTTGCCACAGGAGCACATTAATGGTATGTGTTAGTTAGGAAACCAATGAATTTTTTTAATTGGAAAAAAATATATAGAATGCTTCACAAATTTGCATGTCATCCTTGCACAGGGGCCATGCTAATCTTCTCTGTATCTTTCCAGTTTTAGTGTATGTGCTGGTAAGGTGTGCCAGTACATTTTATCATTTACCTGTATTATTATACATCTCATTTCTAGTTTGTTATTTCTAGAAGAACTAGAGCTGGTGCCTTCATTCCCCTTCTGTAGCAGTGATCGTGAGGGGTGGGGCAAGGTCCAATGGCAAAAGCAGCTGGTGGAGTTTCTGTTTGACTGATGATGGGTGGATTCCTTTTCTAAACTTGACTTCAGTCTCTTTATCTGTGAGACCATGCGAATAATAGGTTGAAGTCTTTTGCAGATTTAAAATATTATGATTCTCTGACAGTTCAATTGAAAAAAGCAGTCTCAAAAAAGTAGGGGAAAAATGTAATGTAAATTTGCCACTTTACCATCAAGCCAACATAAGCTGGATCATTTAGCTCATGCAGAATTGTTAATGATTAAGAATATTTTGCCTGAGTTTGAAAAACCAATATGGCGGCATAGTAAGCACCTGAACTTGCTGCCTCGCAAAACAACTTCAAAACTACAACTAAAAGACAAAATGGACAACATCCAGAACCACAGGAAGGCTGGCTGAGTGGAAATTCTACAACGAGAAGGGAAGAGAAAAGCACACTGAAACTCAGAGGAGCTGTGGAAGTAAAGGCAGAGGTATGGAGGCATGCGTGTGGAGAGGGCTGGCAACTGAGTAGGCGACAGGCTTTTTCAGTCTTCAGGGAGGCACAAGCTCCCCACTGCTCTGAACTCCATTTCTGGGCAAGACGGTGGGGACCCAGACTTATACAGGGAGAAACTGGACTGTCTGGCAGTGGGCGGATCTTGAGGGTGGGTTTCTCTCAGAAGTGCTTGCAGCGATTACCAATGGACACTGAGATCTCGGGGTCTCTTAGGGCAAGGCTGATGGGAAGCTATTGCTGTTTGCTCTGCTCTGAAACTCCACCTTATCCAAGCTGTACAGTACACAGAGGCTTTTGCATATGAATGGCCTGATCCTTTGAAATCTAAACTTACCTAACAAACTGCAGCTGAGTCAGAGAGACCCAGAATACCTAAAAGAAGGCTTAAGGCCTCTCAACAGCTTATATTTCTTGACAGCTGGGCCTCATCTGGGCACCTCCAAACCCCAAACAAAGAAGAGGAATCTGAAGCTCTCTTCATAACTCCTACTGGGTGGCCTTAGGCAGAGGCTAAATTAGCACCTCCTTGGAGATTCAAGTACCAGTGTACTCAGGGGTCATAGTAAGACCATTCCAGATTCCAACTCCTCAGATCCATAAGGGACACACTCAAGGGGCAGTCTCAGTGAGCACCAAAGCCCTACTGAAGCAAGTCTTGCCTCATCAGGGTCTCTCCAGCACAGAAGTTCTCCCATTGTAGACACAGCTGATGGTCACAACCAATTGGCCTGGAGGTCAATTCTTCCCAGTTATACCAATAACAATCAAGGCTTAACTATAACAAGACTGTGCACACAGCCCACAAAGAGGTGCACCAAGAGTGTCCACTCAGGTAACTGAGGAGGCTGAGCCACTAGGCCCTATAGGACACCTAGCACACAAAGCCACTCTATCAACTCAGGAAAGCAGCCAAAATGTGGAGACAAATAGGTCACAAATAAAAGAAATGGAGGAAAGCAAACGACTGGATATAGAGTTCAAAACATGGTTGTAAGGTTTTTCAAGAATTTTCTAGAAAAGGCCGATAAATTTAGTCAGACCCTCGAGGATATAAACAAGGACCAACTAGAAATTAAGCATACACTGACTGAAATAAAAAATATTATACAGAGATCCAACAGCAGACTAGAGGAATGTAAGAATCAAGTCAAAGATTTGGAATACAAAGAAGCAAAAAACACCCAACTGGAAAAACAAAAGGAAAAAAAAATCCAAAAATATGAAGATAGTGTAAGGAGCCTCTGGGACAACTTCAAGCGTACCAACATCTGAATTATGGGGGTGCCAGAAGAAAAGAGAGAGCAAGATACTGAAAACCTGTTTGAAGAAATAATGACAGAAAACTTCCCCCACCTGGTGAAAGAAATAGACATACAAGTCCAGGAAGTGCAGAAAACCCCAAACAAAAGAAATCAAAAGAGAACCACACCAAGACACATCATAATTAAAATGCCAAGAGCAAAAGACAAAGAGGGAATATTAAAAGCAGCAAGAGAAAAACAGTTACCTACAAGGGAGCTCCATACGATTGTCAGCTGGTTTCTAAACAGAAACTATGCTGGCCAGATGGGAGTGGCAAGAAATATTCAAAGTGATGAATAGCAAGAACCTACAACCAACATTACTCTACCCAGCAAAACAATCATTCAGAATTGAAGGTCAAATAAAGAGCTTCACAGATAAGAAAAAACTAAAGGAGTTCATTACTGCCAAACCATTATTATATAAAATGCTGAAATATTCTTTAAGAAAAGAAAGAAGAAAAAGGTAAAGATAAAATTTATGAACAACAAATATATATCTATCAACAAGTGAATCTAAAAATCAAGTGAATAAAAAATTTAATGAACAGAATAAACTGGTGAATATAATAGAATCAGGGGCATAGAAAAGGGATAAAAGGATATGGGATAAAAGGATAAAGGGATGTGGGGTGCTGGAAGAGACTGGACAAAAATCACACACCTATGGATGAGGACAGTGGGGGCAGTAAGGGCAGAGGGTGGGGTGGGAACCAGGTGGAGGGGAGCTATGGGGGGGGGGACAATTGTAATAATCTGACAATAAAGATTTATTTAAAAATTTTAAAAATCATTACTTAATTATTTTAAATAATTTATTATTTAAATTATTTTTAAAAATTATATTTTAAAAAAGAATATTTTGCATGCCAGTGTCACTCAGGCATTGAGCATCAACCCATGAACCAGGAGGTCTTTGTTCGATTCACCATCAGGACACATGCCCTGATTTCTGGCTCCATCTCCAGTAGGGGGTGTGTAAGAGGTAGCCAATTAATGATTCTTTCTCATCATTGATGTTTCTCCCTCTTTCTCTCCCTCTTCCTTCCTCTGTAAAATATATATATATATATATATATATATATATATATATATATATATATATATATATATATATATTTGTTACTTATTTATCTCAAGACTGTCTTTTTTTTCCCAGAGAGGAAGGGAGAGGGAGAGGGTCAGAAACATCGATGACCAGAATCAAACCTGGGACCCTTGAGTCTGAAGACTGACGCTCTATCCACTATCCACTGAGTCAGACTAGTCAGAGCAAGACTGTCCCTATTGTCACCCTCAACTTTTTTTGTTTTCTAAATTCCTTAGTAAAATTCTCTGCAAGCAGTTTTAATTTCCCCAAGTGAACAAGTTGATTGGTGTTCTACAAGGAAAGAGATAACTCTTTGGGCTTGGCAAGTTTTAGAAAGCCTACTCAAACAGGCACACGGGTGTTTCCTGGCTCAGTGACTGCTTCAAGCAGGTGGGGTCCTGGGGTTGAACCTGAATCAGAGCCCGCCTTGCTCCACCGTGCTTCCCCTTCAGGCTTCATTCTTAGGCAGGCTGTTCAAGAGCCCCTAGTACCTGCAATGCCATTCTTCTTTCCTGTAACAGCCCCGGCAGAAGCAAAATCTGCCTTTCCGTCACTTTTGGAAAAATATCAGAGGGGAAGCTCATTAGTTTGATTGGAGTCCTGAGCCCATCTCCCACCAGTCCTAAGGCCACAGGGACAGAGGTCTCTCACTGGCTCATGGTGGGTCTTGGGGCCCTCTACTCTTGCACTAAGAAGAGGGGAGAATTGGAGTGCCATTAACCAAAATGGGGGGCGGAGGAAGGGTTGAAATGATGATTGGGCATAAACCACATTGCATTTGAGGAAAGAACATTCATGAAGTATTTATATTTTATAAAGTATTTTTACACACATTTTTTACCTCACTGCAGCCAGATGAAATTTGTAAAAGCAGGCATGATTAGTATCCCTGTTTTATAGATAAGGAAACTAGCTTAGAGAGGTGTAAAAGGGGCACTAAATTACCCAGGTAATAGTGGCAGAAATCTCAAGTCTGAGATTTCCAATTCAAGATCTGCTATTCCTCTCTATATGAAATCATTCATGAGGCTACTTTAATTACTGTTGCCTGTAATGAATTTTATAGAAAGCAGATCATCAAAGCAGCTGTTTACTGACACCTAGACATTCATTCTATACAGTGAATCCTTGTTGAGACTGTATCTGCTATAGAATGTTTAGCCTTCTGAGTCACTGCCCATACATCAGGCGTGTTTACTAAGAGGAGGAACAGCTGTCAGAAGCACTTCACCTAGGCAAAAAGAAAAAAAAAAATCTGTATTTTTGTTTTATGCTGGTAATGAGTATCATTATATGAAAGTTAGAAAAGGCAAACAGGTTAAAAGGAGAAAGTAAAAGCCACCTATAATCCCATCACTCAGAGTTAACAAATGTAAACATGTTTATCTTTCTGAACTTTTTCCATGTGGGAAATACGTAAATATACTTTTACAAAAAATAGTTATTATAGTGTATAGATCTTGCTGTTTATGTTACCAACATCTTTCCAAGCAAGCGAACACAGCCTTCCCACCTCATCTGTAAGGCTGATCTGCAGTGTGATGGGCTTCCATTTCTCAGTCTACCCCCTGCTGTGTGAGACCTGGTTGGTTCTAATCTTTGTTATGTGAACTGCGCCATAATGGAATTTTTTTTTTTTAATGAGAATTCTTAAAACCAAATTGTTATGAACATCCTTAATTATTTCCTTAGGGTGCACTTCTAGAAGTGAAATTGTGGGTTCAGATGTGTGTTTTTAAAAATTTTCATTGATATAACCACCCCCCATCCAAAAATGTAGAGTGATTTCTGTTCAAGTCAGCACGGATTCAATAATGGCCATTATACAGGATATATGCTAGAGGCTTGGTGCACAGATTTGTGCACTGGTGGGGTTCCTTGGCCTGGACTGCCAAGGGGTCCTGGACATCCCCTGAGGGGTCCCAGATTGTGAGAGGGTGCAGGCCAGGCTGAGGGACCCCACTGGTGTATGATCAAGGCTGGG